TAACACAGCCTTTAAACAATCCATAATACAATGTACTAAACCCACTAAATAAAAAAATATACCAATTTAAAATATTCCAATTTAAATGGAAGCTAAACAGCCCAAATATACTGGCCTAACTCACCTGGAGACATGTTTAAAAGCATCAACAATAACTGGGGAAAAATCTTGTGTGAACTCTTGTCCTTTCCTCTTGCTATTCTGTATGACATCATTTGCAAGATACAGGAAGGTCAGCTTACGGGACACTTGGGCTGCACAGAGAGAAAGAGAAGAAAACATTTCTTAATTTAATTGGCTGTCTGTTTGGGGAGGAATAATTCTTTAAATATTTGCGATCTGAAAGAAAAGGCATGTGATGTTTAATTAAACCAATTAAATCATTTATACCATTGGTTTTTAATGTTGAGAGGGGAAAAAAATCTATTTGAGGCAACTGAAAAACAATGTTGTTAGGGTGTCAATACAGGCCAACCATGCTCGGCATGTAGGTTCTTGAGCAAGAAATGATTGTTGTGAATTCCTCCTGAACACAAAAAACCTGCTATAAAAACTACACCTTCACTATTGAGACAATTGAGATCTCAGGAGAGATGATCAAAAGATAGCTCTGTTTTTTAGTACCACCACCCAAGCAACAAACCCATTATCCAATCCCATCTCCAAGCAAATACACAGTATTCAGAAATGAAGGCCATGTAATAACTTGAACACTCATAAAAACAAATAATCTAATTCAAAAACACAATACTGAATTCAAACAGGGTCTGCACTTGATCATGTTATTCTGAAGCTGTAATATTATCCCATTAGCCTAAAGGGAGCTCATTCCCAAGCAACTAGGTTAAACCATAAAAACAAGAACGCACGGTTATCACTGGGAGATGCCATGAAATCCTATGAATTAATCTTAGCACTGCTATCCCACACAGTAATCCAAAGCCCTCATTGTTGTCCTAAACTCTGACTAGTTCTAAATAAAAATGACCCAATACTGAGAAACTCATAAGAAAACAATGATCATTCATTTTCATACAGAAAAATGGAGCCATCTCTAAAGGGCAGATTAAAATGCACTTCTCCATCGACAACAAACTACACAGCGGCTTAATAACGTGCATTCATTTCTGTCAATCAAGTATTGCATCTACTCTACCTGAGGTCAACTGTAAACAGCATTGTCATGTAATCACAGGGCAACAAGCCAAACACATGTCAATTACTAGAGTAAACTTAGACCAGTTTTCCAAACACAAAATTAATCTTTATACTGTACATTCAAAGCTAGATTGAGACCTACAATTAATAAGTTTAATGTACACCTTAACCTGATGTTTACTTGCACTCTGTTGGAGATAAATACAACAGAGCTGATCACAGAATCTAGACTCCTACAGCACATTATGTGTCATTATCACAAAGGTGCAACATTATAATAAGCCTTCAGTGACACCAGTCGTTATGCAGGATCAGACTAAGTGAATGTTTATCATGTCTGAGAAGATAAAAAAGGACTGTGCTAACCTGTCATAATAACGAACGGAAAGCTTTATAAACTGTTCCTATGCAATTTCTGGATATCTCTATACACAAATACATACAAAAATCTGCGGCAACATAAAATTTGAATAGGAAATGACCAAGCAATGAAACCTAAAGCCACTGTGAAATTGGATTCTAACTGGTTAATCGTGAATGCATTAAAATGAATTCCTTAAAACAAAAGCAAATAAACAAATTGTTTAAAAAAAAAAAAAGTTTAATTCAATGTAGGTAATTAGGTAACTAAGGTACACTATTCAGGGTGTCCTGTTGTCAAGTGATAAATTAAACCAGTTGTAGTAAAGTTCTTCAGCAACGAGCCAAACAAATTGTACATACTGCTATTCCAGCATAATTTTGTGTCACATTAAAGTGTCTCCATGTTATCCAAGTGTGCATGAAATAGAGAGTGGCATACGTAAAACGCCTTTTCAGAGAAGCGCTAATTAAACAACTATTTCAGTCAATGATTTTGGCCACGCAAAACTTTAAAACTTTTTTTTCTTTTTGCTGTTTCAACTGAATATTTCAGTGCATCACTACTACAGCAATAGCACTGACAAAATCTACAGTTATGGAACTAATAAAGATTTTTATAGCCATCAGACTGGGTGTTCAAGCAAAGCAAGCGTGTGTTTGGGAAAGACACAGTACTTGCCATTCAAAGAGGGGGATCTAGTTGATCCTAAACTAGGTTGTTTAAGATCAATCAAACTTTTTTTTAAAACACACCCTGTGTTAGATCAGACAGGTCTGTTCTCATCCCAACATAGACCACATGTGCCATGCTGAAAAGTGAAGGGGTCTGGGTACATATACAATCATTGTGTCTTGCCATTTTTACTGGAAATTTCACTTAACCAAAATAAAAAACTGAATCTAACGTTAGTAGGGAAACAGATGAGTAGATGCTTCAAAATGGCTGCCAGGGTCAGTGGAAAATAGATCATAACATATCTAATGTAGATATTATATAGAATATTTCTTCTGGGATTCACCAAAATCTTATATGCAGTAGTGAAACTGTAATCTGAGTTGCTCAAGCACTGACCTAACATGTTGCTGAATGTCTCAATATCTGCAATTGTCTTACAGACTATTATTGTGTTTATTAATAGAGAAACTCAGTCAAGAACTGAGGGGTTGTCTCAATAATAACCTGCAAAGTAAACTGCAGAAATTGCAAAGGAATCAAAACATGCAGATTAGCTAAACTGCTAGCTTACAGGGGAACCTATGATTAGCTTGTTTGCTACATGTGCTGTTTGTTTTAATTTCAAAACGACAAAAACATAACATAACCTCGCATTGTAAAGCTATTCTAGGTGTTTGCGGTAAAATGTATCTCTCCTTACCTTTCTTCAGCTCGTTATACCAGACTTTGACGATGGTTTTGGAGTGTTTTCTGTGGTGGATGAGCCACAGTGAAAGGGTCTGCACGCTCTGCTGGGAGTTACTCAGTTCTGATAATTTCTTCTCCAAAGCAGGCTCCGAGAACACGGACATTTTCAACTACAAGTAAGAATTGGGTAGAAAAGGCTCCTTGCCTAAACCAGGCACCCGAAGGTCGAGGATATTAAAGCTGATAACTCCTCAAGCTAGCTACACATTCCCTGGTTTACCACACACTGCCATAAAGTTGGCTTGACGTTGGACGTGCGATATTCGCAAATTTAGGGACCGTCTCTAAAGTTACATACGACATTGGTATACACGTTTCTAACTTCAATAGCATTTGAAGAAAATGACTTACAGTCAGTCACACAACCAACTGTAAAGTCTTTATGTAGGTGTCATCTATAATGCACACCTTTTAGATTTTTGATATGAATTCAAATAAACTGTCCAATTATGTGTAAATATTGCAATGTATTTCACTAAGGTATGGGCTCAAACACAAAATATGCCATTATTTAAAGTTCAATAGCATTAAGGAGAATGACTTACCGTCATAAAACCGTCAATATTTGCATATGATTTTACAGTTTATTTGAATAAATATCAAAAATATAAAAGGTGTGCATTATAGATGACACTACATGAACACTTTACAGTAGGTAAGTCATTCTCCTCAAATGCTATTTAGCTTTACATTACGGCATATTTTGTGTTTGAGTCCATTCAGTAGTGAAAAAAATTGCAATTTTTACATATGATTGTTTTGACAGTTTATTTTAATAAATATCAAAATTTTTAAAGGTATATTTATAACCCTACCTGAACACTTTACAGTTGGCTGTGGACTGTAAGTCATTCTCTTCAAATGCTATTGAAGTTAGAAACGTGTATACCAATGTCGTATGTAACTTTACAGACGGTCCCTACATTTGCGAAAATCGCACGTCCAACGTCAAGCCAACTTTATGCCAGTCGAGCACAGTGAGCATGCGCAGTCTCACAGCGCATGTATGAGGCGAAATGACCACACAGACAGCGGGTTGAGGCATAGTCTAGCTCAGTTTCAAACTGCAGTCATTCATGAAGTAATAAAATAGAAATATTAGTTTAATAGTCTTCGATGGGATATGTAGCCTAGTTTTGGGATGAGGGAACAAATGAAGACGCCAGGACAGCATAACACAAAAACATCAATAATATAAATAAATATTTTTTAACATGGATAATAATAAACGTTTTTATAAATAAACGTCAGCAGTTTTGGCTGATGAAAATTCAGCTTTGCTATCACAGGAATAGGCCTACATTACATTTTAAAGTATATTAAAACGGAAAACACTTATTTATGTACACTTTTATTTTAAATTGTAATATTTCACAATATTTCTGTTTGTACTGTATTTTTGATTAAATAAATTAAGCCTTGGTGAGCATAAGAGACATCTTTCAAAAACATGAAAAATTATTACTGACTCTAGGCTTTTGAATGGCAGTGTTTAAAATGTAAATTTTAAACCAGTCACTGTGGTTTAAACTGGTCTTCAGCTGGTCCAGTTGGTCTTCCAGCTAGTGCCAAAACCCCTCTAAAAACCAACCAAGACCAGTCTAACTGTAACATTCACTATGCAAAAATGTAAATAATAACAAATAAATTAATATAAATAAAATATCGTTATAATTTTAGATATATCACAATTATTTCAATATTATTTCTGTTCTTTTATGTTTACACCATATCAGTCATTTGTAAATTTGGATTTAAAAAAGATGTCTTTCATGATATAGAAAGGGCGCACAATACCTTGTGGACAGAGGGACTTTTAATAAAGCTAAATAAAATTGTAAATAAAAGTATAATAACTGGGTTGTTTTTATTCATTTGTAAATTTACTGCATAGTAAAATGTGTTAGATTGTCAGACGCCAGGACAGCATAACACAAAAACATCAATAATATAAAGAAATATTTTTCAACATGGATAATAATAAACGTTTTTATAAATAAACGTCAGCAGTTTTGGCTGATGAAAATTCAGCTTTACTATCACAGGAATAGGCCTACATTACATTTTAAAGTATATTAAAACGGAAAACACTTATTTATGTACACTTTTATTTTAAATTGTAATATTTCACAATATTTCTGTTTGTACTGTATTTTTGATTAAATAAATTAAGCCTTGGTGAGCATAAGAGACATCTTTCAAAAACATGAAAAATTATTACTGACTCTAGGCTTTTGAATGGCAGTGTTTAAAATGTAAATTTTAAACCAGTCACTGTGGTTTAAACTGGTCTTCAGCTGGTCCAGTTGGTCTTCCAGCTAGTGCCAAAACCCCTCTAAAAACCAACCAAGACCAGTCTAACTGTAACATTCACTATGCAAAAATGTAAATAATAACAAATAAATTAATATAAATAAATAAAATATCGTTATAATTTTAGATATATCACAATTATTTCAATATTATTTCTGTTCTTTTATGTTTACACCATATCAGTCATTTGTAAATTTGGATTTAAAAAAGATGTCTTTCATGATATAGAAAGGGCGCACAATACCTTGTGGACAGAGGGACTTTTAATAAAGCTAAATAAAATTGTAAATAAAAGTATAATAACTGGGTTGTTTTTATTCATTTGTAAATTTACTGCATAGTAAAATGTGTTAGATTGTCTATTTAAATGTTTAATTTCTGTCCAATCTGGTCTGTAAGTACCCTTGTTCTACATTGTAATTGTTTCTTAAAATTGAACCTTACCATGTCATTTTAATATTCAGCGGCAGGAGGAGAGTTTGGGAAACTTGTTTGAAAACAGTCAGTATTTCCATTCAGTCAGTATATTGGTGCCACTAGAGTGAATGTGTTTGCTACAGGAGCTGCTCACATAGTTCAGAGTTCTCAGGGTTCAGCACACTGTTGTGACATCATAATGGAGATTCTGTTCTGGCAGCCCTGACTCTTGTCTTCTGTTGGTGTGTTAGGAGTGAAAATATCGAAAGATACTAGTTTCGTGACTTTCTGCAAAGATTTTCGACAAATACTGAATTCACTTGCAGCATTCAGTGTCCACAATGGCACTGTTCAGCAGTATATTTAGACAACTTTTTGAGCATTTTGCTCACTTCTTGCGCAGAAGGGAGACATCTCTGAGGGCACAGCAGTGTGCAGCGCAAGAATGGGCAGCACTAGAGAAACTTCCAAAGGCACCGTTGACGAAGGCGGGTGAGAGTAAGGCCTTCACTGCTAATGACAGGAAGTGCAGAAAAAGATGCCGCAAGGTACCAGCTTACAAAGAAAAAAAAAATTGTGTAGAAACAGAAATTGCTAGTAAATTTCACAATTAATTACAATGAAACTGCAAGTAACACATTGAGTTAAATGTGAAATTTTGAAATAGAAAGACTGAAATAGTATTGTCTGTATTGCAATAATGTTTATTTACAACCTTAAAAAATATTTTTTTACAGTATAGAGAGAAAGAGGAGGAAAGACAGGAGAAGAGAAAGGTGAAGAAGGAGAGAGAGATGAATGAGGGAGGAAGTCATAAAGACAAGGCTGAAAAAGAAAGAGAGACACTTGATAAGATAAAAGAGAGGATGTGTGCAACAGAAAAAAGAGAGTCTGCCAAATTCAGAGAGATGCAGAGTCTAGAAAAGTTGGTGGAGGGAGGAGGTGAGCATAGAGAGGCTGGAGAAAAGAAAAAGAAGAAGAGAAAACTGAAGGAACAAAAGGCCACTGAGCCAACTCCACTTCTTGTGGAGGTCAAACCTCAGCAAACTGTAGTCAGTCCTCCAGTGAGATCTTCCTTCTTGAAGCCAATAGAGGGAGAACTTCCAATGCTTCCAAGTGTCTCTGAACATCTCACTCTACCAGCCGCTCGCTTCAAGCCCCTGCCGCCAGTGACCAAACCGCCCATGCGGCCTCAAAAGCCAGCTCCTGCACCTGAGGAAGTGTCCCTGCCATGTTCTCCTCTTCAAGTGGATCCTCCCAAACCGTTGGCTGTTCCTCCACGTCCCACTCCAGCGTATGATGAACTCTTTTCTCTCCGACACTCCCAAGTGCATCCTCCCAAACGACTGGTGGTTCCTCCGAGCCCCACTCCTTCACCTGATGAAGTTGTTGATCTGCATTGTTCACCAACTCAAATGTGTCCTCCCAGCCTGGTGAAGCCTCAGCCATCCACTTCTTCCCTGTTTGAGCCGCCTCCACAACTCATGCTCATTGACATAGAGGATGAGGAGAACGAGTATGTGGAGTACACAGGGAAGACCATCCGGGCCTGTGACTTACTCAAGTCTGAACGCCACCGACCGCTGGAGGCTGAAATGAAACCAAGACAGATGGTTGCTTGGTTGGAGAGAGACAGCGAGGTGCTGGAGGAAGTGTGGGCGAGTGAAGTGGCGGAGGTCCAGGGATGTGAGGAAGAGAAAAATAATCCTGGTGAAATGGGAGACTCCAAGGCCATAGAAGGTCATTTGGATGTCGCCTCTCAGAAAAAGAAGGAAATGGATGAGCACATGATGAAGCTGTTCTGTGTAACCTCTCCTGAAGGTCCCAAGAATGAGACTCAGCACAATGTGAATGTCGAGGAAGAGCCAAAGAGCAAAAGAAAAGGGCCACTTGTTCTGTTCACCTGGGCAGAAGAAAAGGTCAAGAAAAAGGAGGAGAAGAAAATACAGAAGGAGAAGGTGCAAAGAGAAAAAGAGTTGCTGCTTGAACGCTACAGGAAAGATCCAAAACTGAAGCACTTGTTGATCAACAAGCACAACCGCCACTACTGCTCCTCTGAATGAAGATCATTGTCCCTCTCCAAAACGTCCTCTTCACCTTTAACCTGCTGCACAATTCTATGTACAAATAAAAAAAAAACTTTGCAAATACTGTAAGATGCATGGAACATTTCCTGTGTACTTAAACATAAAAAACACATTTAATGTTCAAAGGTTTAATATGAAAATGTATTTAATATGAAGTGATTTTCAACCATTTTTAATCATATTTTTAACTAGAACAGCTACAGGAATTAAATGTTTAATCTCAGATCACATTAAAACTTTACACTTGATTGGAGTACAAGGAAATTTCATAGGTAAGTTGCAATTACGTTTGTCATATGGTCTATGATGTGGATATTTCCAATACATCACCTGCAACTCTGGTCTTTTTATGTTTCTTCCACTATAGGTCCCTTTTGTGGATTTTTGGAGCATTTCCTCACTAGGAATATGCACTGTATGCTATTATTGTGGTTTCTGACAAATTGCATGTGTATATTTATTTATAATGTCTCTTTCAGAGGCAATATATGTTAACGGTCATATACGAAAGTAAACAAATTCAAATTTTCTAAAAGTTTAGAAATGAGTACTATTAAAACTAAAATCTTATGATCATGTTTTTTTTACATGATCATAATTATGACGAGAAAAACAGTTTGCACTTTATTTCCAGTAAACACTTCATTTCCTATTTTTCCTATTTTAAAATAAGACTTTGGGTCATGACTGAGCAACAAATACTAATAAATCACAAATACTAGAGTCAACTTTACATATTTTTCCATACACAACACTCAAAACTCAAAAGCGATCCCTGGGGCAGTACCTTTGTGATTTCTTCCAAGATACTAATTCCAAATAACCATTTTCAACGATTCACATTATATGACATTTCATATATGATTTGCAATCTACTCCAATCACTGAAAGTACAATGACAATTTCAATCCGTATTTTCCTCAAATTTTATTTTTGTGATGAAAAGCAAAGAGGCTTCAGTTTAATGCAAATGTACAGTGCGAAGAGATCTACAAAGCCCAAACACACCCTACACACCTCAATCCACTATAGCTTTACTTATGCAGAAGTTAGTAATAAAGACAAACAAAGAAAGGTTAAGCCACCCAAGTCAATATTTTCTTAACCCATGATTTTCACAGCCAGTTCAGTGTTCAAGAGCTCCACATGCAAGATAGGAGATTTCAGCTTGGTACATGGCATTTCAGTGAATGTTTTAAGTTACCTAATTATCTAAGAAACCATTTTACATTTCACATCTGAAACCATGTGGAGTGAATATTCTTTAGTATACAATTTGAATAAACAAAAATCTGTCTTTGTACACTACAATTAGCCCTAAAATGCTTAAATAAATGCCTGTCAATGTTAAGTGTGCTCTTTATTTTTTTTGTCTTAGATTTAAATGCATCACTTAAATTTCTAGGACAATTTAAAATGAACCATATTACCATGTTTATGACAAGTTGTCCATTACCCAGCAGACTTCCTCTGGCATTTTAATAAATAACTTATAAATAACCACAAAAACATCAAATGCAAGAAATATCCTGTTATTTTCCAGCACATGGAACATTTTTGCAAGGTAACATGCAACTAGCAAAATTTCTAAAAGCCTCAAATAATTCAATATTCCATTCACATTCATTAAAATAAGGGAATACATCTCTTTCCCTCATTCACGCACAGATATACAAAATCAAAACAACAAAATGAATTATTTAATGAAAAATAAATAAATCTGTAACGTAGTCAGCATGAAAGAGAAAAGAGTCATGTAATGTAGTGTTTGAGCCTCAAATACTGACCTTTGGAACGATTTAATAGCCAGGACAACCTCTCAAGCTCACCTTCCTCTCAAAAAAAAAACAAAAAACAACAACAGAAAGATAAACTATATACAGGCTTTATTTTACTTCTCATAGTTATACTGTAGATAATACAGTCAACTGAACAAACGTTTGTCATCTTGGAGTGCATCTATTGGTGGTATTATTTTGCAAAGCAGTAATGTTATAGAAACGCACACATTAGTGAGTAGCACAGCCAGATATTCAGATATTCATGCCTAGAACTAGAGGGGTTTGAGCTTTATCTGACTATTTACAGCTACTGAATATATGCAAATGTTTGGAGAAGTATCTCTGTCTGTCTGACATTTTTTGCTGTGTTAAACTATCATGCAGAGACTTTATATTGACTAGTGGAGCACATTAGTATCAGTAATGTTCATTACTCTGCCATACAAATCTCCGCTCATTGATATTTGCTCTTTCTTGCTCCCTCACGGTCAACCAGGCTATGTGCAAAGGTTAGTCGAGTGAATTTCTGCCATGCCATTTGGATGCAACTGTTGAGTCATATCACGCTATACATCTCCAGAACCACAGAAGCGGTTTTAACAAGAAGGACAGAGCGAGCAATGTAGAGGAACTACATTCAAACGGGTTCTGAAATAAATTTCGAAATAAATTGCCATTTGAGTTTGCAAATGGCCTTATGAGCTTATGGCCTGATCAGCCTGTACATGTTGACATACAGGGAATGTGAAAGACAAATAAATTAAGAATATGAGGAAAGGTGATGAGATGTGAGATGGTATATCATTCCGTGTAAAGTGGACTGCATTCCCTCTTCTCACAGGAAGGAGGAGCACTCATTCCTTGGTACGACCCACGATGGCCAGGATGTAAAGGAAGATGTTGATGATGTCAGTGTAGAGGTTAAGAGCGGCATAGACGTATTCCTCTGGGCTAATGGCCATCTTCTTGTTGCCCAGGAGAAGCTGGGTGTCCACAGCCAGGAACTGTGAAAGAACAAACAAGGCCTGAGTGTCGCATTCATGTTGTGCTTGAGGAAATAAAGCAAGCTGAACTGTTTCAAAGGATTGAAAATGATATTAATCTTTTACTTTCATCGTTTTTGAAGAGATGTGTGCCATTATATACACAATTTTCCCCTTGTGGGTGATTTAAAAAAAAATCTCATAGACTTACACTGAAGGAGTGATTCAAATAATATTTAGGGACTAAAATATTATAGAGACTTGGCGAAGGGCTCTTTTAACACTTTAAGCTTGTAAGCAACCACCTGGAAACAACCTAGAACACCCTAGCAACCACATAGCACAATGCACTAGGCCTAGCAGCACCACTCATGTTTTATTCAGAAACTACAAAATCATATGGTCTTAAATCATCAGCAAATCCTACATAAATTTCACTGGTTTTGTATCCTGCTTGACTGTGATAGTTACACTATCGTTCAAAAGTTTGCAGTCATTTTATTAATTTTTTTAAACGGATGCATAAAACTGATCAAAAGTGACAGTAAAGGCATTTATAATATTACAAAAGATTTGTATTTCAAATAAATGATGTTCTTTAGAACGTTCTATTCATCAAAGAATACTGAAAAAAAAATGTATCAATGTATCAAAAGCAGCAAAGCTGTTTTCAACATTGATTATAATAAGATATATTTCTTGAGCACCAAATCGGCATATTGCAATGATTTCTGAAGGATCATGTGACACTGAAAACTGGGCTAAGGGATGCTGAAAATCCAGCTTTGCCATCACAGGATTAAATTACATTTTAGAATATATTCAATTAGAAAAAAGGTTATTTTAAATTGTAAAATTATTTCACAATATTGCGGTCTTTACTATATTTTTGACCAAATAAACACAGTCTTGATGAGCATAAGAGACTTCTTTCATAAAACATGAGCTTTATCCAAGAACTCTACTGTAATTTCCTGATGTTCCAACAATTTCAGTTCCAAATGCTTAATCTCACTGCTCCAAAAGGGATATGATTTTATACAGCCAGTCAGACTGGAAAACTGGAGATTTCAAAAGGGCCCAAGTTTGGTGACCCAGTTTAAGACAGATGGTAAAACGTTTTACCTCACAAAAAAGGCATGACAATGGATGATGACTTTGATAGCAAACAATCAAACTATAATAGCAAAGTGCAGGTTTCCACTTTTGAAAGATATACAGGTATGTTCACCAAAGCAGCATGCTATTGATCAACCAAGCCATTCAAACCCTATTAAACTCTATTTTTTAAATCTGATGGTTATTTAATCTTAATGTGTAACAGCAAAGCCCCACTCCAGCCATTAGTCCAGACCGCTGAGAAAAGCAGTGTTAGCTCATCCTTAATCACAACAGCATTCTATTTTGGCACTTGAAAAACCTGTTTTATTATCTTGATGAAAACAGTTGTATAAATTATTAAAGTGTGGAAGTCACAATACAATGTCTCTTCTAAAGTCTAAGAGATTTTTTGTATCTGAAGTGAATAAGCTGAAATAGCTGAAGAGATGAAAGAAGAATAAAGAAAGTGAAAATCTAACCAGCGAGAGAAGCTCAGATGTACAACAACTTTACATTTCTTTTCAATAAATTGACAGCTAGAATGCCAAAGGTTTTTAACAGTGATCATTATTGCAAGTAAAGAACTGTTTGAAGAACAGAAGGTGTGATGAGTTTAACAGTCTTAGTAACATAGAAGTACACGACTGTGAAAAACATAATTTTTAAAAGGATATTAACCCCTTAGCATTCCTGTAAAATTAGCCTAAAATGCCTAAAAAAGGCATACCCAAAGTAAATTGCATGCTGTTCTTGAACCATTTGGAGTATATGCATGGTTTTGGTTTTGAAAGGTGACACTGGGGTTTGTTCCTAAACAGAACAAATCACTGTAAGTCTTACTGGTATTGAGTATTAGAACTTTGAACACACTGACGGAATGAAAAACCATTCCGTCTATATTTTTTTGTAAACGGATGCCTGCAGATGACTATAGCTGGGAGCTATTAGCTGGAAAACACAATGGGATCACAACATGAAGCCTTGTTGAAATGAAGAATGTCAGCCTTCCACAGATATGCGACACATTTTTTTTTTTGAGTTGTTGTATGTCACGAAGTTAACCCTCTAAAACACGCAGTGGAACACTAACAGGTTAAGGTATTGATGGTGGTACTTACACAAGTGAACAGCAGGGCCCCGAGCGAGGCGTAGACAATGTGCAGAATTTTATTTTGGATGAAGATGCAGAGGAAAGAGGCCAGGAGCAGGACAATCAGACAGACAAAAAGAACACCCCAGCAGGAAGTGAAGTCATATTTGCTCTATTTTTGAAAAAGAGAAGGATAATGACAATCAGCGGTGTTTACCGCATGCAAAGGATGCATGGAAGACACATGATAAAACCGCCTAGCTCAAAAGCTTGAAAACTAAATTGGCCGCCATTGAATGTCCACAAACTATACTTGAACTATACTTTCAAATCTTTACATGCTGTCATTATAATCATGAGATGTTGTTCGGTAAAATAAAGCGTGTATAAAATAAAATACAATAAAGGATGAAAAACTATGAGACTGCTACAGTGAGCAAACAAACCTGCAGTGAGAAAAGCACAACTGTGAAGCAGACCACCGCAGTGATGCCCACTGCCATGATAACTGCATCTGTATCATAGTAGCTGGCAACCATTCCAACCATATAAGACAGACTCAGGGTCAGGATGGACTGAGAAAGAAATACAGGAAGGGGTCAATCAGTACAGAGTAAACAAACCTAAACCTAAATATAAACTTGAAGAGTTAACTATATATTAAACACTAAACAATGTAAACAACTAAATTTTTCAAGTTCACAAACCATATAAAAACATGATTGCATATGTTTTCTTGTACAGTGCAGAATGAAAACACTAAATAATGTGTAAGCATAGGCAGTTGTAGTACCAGTGCCACCAGGTTCCATGGGTGTTTGCGGCGAAACTCTCCACAGCAGCTGAGAGCGATCAGTGAAACAAAGAAGATAGCGTAGGACACATAGTACGTCCACTGATTTCTCCGTACAAACACTTTGACGTCAGTTGAAAAGGTGAAAACGGCAACAAAAGAGAAGGTGATCAACAGCTGCACGGTCAAGACCATGAACACCTGAGAACAGAGTCACGAAACAGTGTTTTTCTTTGACACACTGTACTGCTACATACAATAGTTACATACACATTTAACAAGACCATTTGTTACATTGCTTCATTCATTCCAGTAACTGTGTTTAATACACATATTTGACATTTATCTGTGTGTATACTGTACAGTCTGTAATAAATGCATGTTAAATGTGTTACATTTTTAGAACTTTTATTTAATTTAATTCCTGATATTTGGGCATTTTTAGACTATCATAACTGACCATTAACTCGTGCCTGGCTAATAAACAAAAGTTGTAGTCCTCTTTGTGCCAGTTTCAGTATCAGCATTGACTTTTTAAAAACACACAACGGTCAACCATGAGTCCACACATTTGTTGACCAAAAATGACAATAAACATTACTTTGACTTTTAAACACTGAGGACAGAGAGATTGTTATTAAGAATGTATTGATACTCACAATACAATTACCTATTTCACATTAGAACCACAACCACATTTCCACAGTTATTAACATTGTAAATATCGCAACTCTTTTTAATTTTAATTAAGAAATTTAATCCACATTTATTGTTATATTACCTTGTCATTCAATTACAAAGAAAAATAGTTAAAACTGCTGTAAGGGTTTTTCCTAATTTTTTGAATACAGCACAATAATATATATATATATATATACAGAAGGCAGAGCTCTGAATCACTTTCAGTTTCACTTTTCAGCAGAGGACTGAGGACATATGACTGCAGGTGCTCACACAACTTCCTGGTAACCCAGGTTGTGCAGCTGAGAGAGAGAGGTTGCTATGGACACTGATGTTGAAGCATCTGAATACATGAGTTCATTTAAACATGTCAAAGTGTGACTATAGTGTTTTTTTAAGTGAGTGTCAGATGACAGAGAGGTCCATATAAATGTAAAAATAGGGGAAATTAGCATGGCCAACTAAACAACTACTAAAAAAAAAAAAAATTTTTTCAATAAAAACTACTACTTGCAATCAATTTATAAAAATGTATTAATAACTAAACACTGTAATTTTTATAAATTGAAATCAACTTTAAAATAAATGGAAAAAACAAGAAGGCAAGTTAGTCTGCATAACATAATGACTCTCTAACACATATTATAATACTGTAAAATAAATGTCATTATGAAAAATCAGTAGTCTGTATCAGTATCTCTGTCCCCTTTAAGGGATTTCACTGAATAACAGCAGTTATGCATCACCGTCCCATTTACTGTGGATGCCAAATCCCATGTGACTTGGTCTCAGCTCAGCAGTCTGCCCAGCGTTACAGACCAGGTTATATTCAGCGGCCTGTTTTCCACTGTCCCACTTCACAGCAGATTAAATCATCATTTAAAAACTGCATTTTGTATTTACTTGCATTTAAATTTAAATTACTTGAATTTGTTTGATGATCTGAATCTTTTAAGTGACATATGCAAAAAAATTTAAAAACAGGAAGGGGGCAAAAACCTTTTCACAGCACTGTAAATATAAACACTCAAAACAGAAAATGGTGTTTGTTGTTGTATTGTAGTATTTGGGATGTCAGCTTCTGAAAAACACAAGCTATTTTTTGTGTAATCTGCAAATCACATCAGGGTGCTCTGTTAAATCTATGCAGTGTTGAAAGCTCTCCAATTCATTAACATTCCTGTCTATTTCTCTCTCAAACTACAGAAACCCAAATTAAGCAGCTTAAAATGTTGCTAAGATCTGTGCTGCTTGTTGCTATTAGATCACCACACTTTTCAAGAATCAGTCAAGTTTCAGGCTGTTTTTTAGACTTGTAACCCTGCCTGATTCCAGCGTTTTATTTCCAGCTTTATTTTAGCTCAGCAGGAAGGGTTTCCACGGGTTCATGTTTATGACTGGCCTAGGGAGTTACTGGAAATTAAAAATAAAATTTGACTGTTCAGTGAGAATCAAATTACTTCAAAGCAGATCTTTAAATCTATGACTCGTTAGATTAGCTATGGAGAGTCTTTAATCAATAACAACTCATGTCTTTTGAGTTCGGCTTTAAGAAGTAAACAAACTCAGGTCATTTATACCATTGTGGCTTGACGACTCCTTTAAAAATCAAAAGTCAAAACACTTCATAGTTTCAAGAACATTTAAGACTTAAGAAACCTTTTCCACTATAAACAACCTTGGAATGGAAAGGTTCCATGGATGTTAAAGGTTCTTCATGGAAACATAGATATCAATAAAGAACCTTAATTTCTGAGAGTGTTGATGCACTCAGCATCAGAATGTGGCAATGCAAACAACAAACTTAAACGTATCTTGCCCATGGTTATATGTCTGCAATTGTATATGAAGATAATTTGCTAAAAATAACAAGTTAGCATTTTATTTAAATCCTGCAGAGACAAACTTTGTCTATAATTATATTTATCAACCTTATTTTTAACATGAGAGCAGGTGCAGACATTTTTAACTTGAATGTGCGCTGCTTCCGGTGTCAGTCATTTCCAGTTATTTTAGCTGTACAAAAACAGTCGGTCATGTTGCTTGATCTTGCAAATTGGTATTTGTTATCAGATGATTTTAATTTATTACCATAATCATAAACACATTGATTTATAGTGCAAATAGTTTTATTGTTTCAATTAGTTTATTTCAGTTTGTTATTCTATACCTATAGCAGCTAATGAATCAGAATTCTCAATTCACATTTAAATAAATTGTTGTTCAAATAATGCTTGTTGATATTCATATTTTAATAATTAAAGTCATGAAACTGGAACATGGGTACGTATTGATGATGATATAAGGAGATATACAGTGGGTACGGAAAGTATTCAGACCCCCTTAAATTTTTCACTCTTTGTTATATTGCAGCCATT